GGAACCACACAAAGTTGGTCATTTGGTGCGGATTCAAGCGAACCGAGACCACTCTTTTTTGCGGTCTCGGTCCGCTTGATTTGGTTCGGGTCCGAGTCCGATTGACGCTTTCACACCAACGCAAACGAACCGAACTAACCACTTTTGGTTCGAATGGACCGTTTGGTGTGCACCAAATACTGTCGGTGTGAAAACACCCTAAATCAAGACCGTCTTTGTCATTTTCTGCATTTATTTGTATTTTACAGTGATTTTGGCAAATATGTCAATGTTTTTATAAATTTATCTCCAGTTTATTACTCGTCGAGCGTTAGACCTCGAGACCAAGACAAGACCGAGTCCAAGCACCTTCAAGATTGAGACAAGATTTAGTTCAAAAGCCTTCAAAACCAAGACAAGATCGAGTCCAAGTGCCTTCAAGACAGAGACAAGACTGAGTCCAAGCGCTTTCAAGACTAAGACGAGACAGGGTCCAAGCACTTTCAAGACTGACATAAGACCGAGTCCAAGTGTCTTCAAGACCGAGACAAGATCGATTCCAAGTGTCTTCAAGACCGAGTCCAAACAAGGTCGAGTCTGAGACAAGACCAAGACCACAAAAAAAACAGTCTCGAGGCGGTCTTGAGACCAAGACTGGTCTTGAGTACTGCGACACTACCGCACACATATTAGAAACATTCGTAGTGCAGGGCCCCAGACTGATGGTCAGTACAGTGAGACTTTAACATAGATGCATTTTCCATAGATTTGACAGAGCCACAACAACTTTAAAAACTCCTGGAACAGTAACGTTAGGGCAGTGAAATGTTATTGAGGTTACAATTAGAGAAATACTTACTGTCTATGATCATTTTTGGTGGGTGGGGGTCTTAAAACTATTATGTATCTCTAACTCAAACTGCACTCATGAGACTACTCCACTATGAGAGTTCATCCAAAAACAATTATACAGAAAAAGTACTGTCTAACAATCTATTTATATTAAGAAAGATTGAATGTAAACTGCCATTTCACATAGAAATACAAGGAAAAAAAAAAAAAAAAGAAAAAATATACAAAATGTTCAGCTTACTAACTCAGTAACATCTCCTTTCTGCTGTTCTTCCATATAAATCCTTATAATCTAAATGAAAGGATTACTCCACTCATACAAATGTTGGTTGACTAAGATTAATTGACTTAAAGGTCCTACTAAAATGCCTCTTGTGAGTTTTAAGCCACATTCTAATGTTGTTACCTCCTCAAAAACATATCTGGAGTTATGATTTGTTTCATTCACACATGTTGGAGTAAACTTTTATTAGTCTGTCTACATCTCCAAAGCTCGTGTTTTCTGTTTGAGAGGAGAACTCAGATTAAATATGCAAAACTTGTGTGTCAAACATGTGTGAATGAACCAAAACTCAACTCCAGGTATGTTTGTGATGATGAAACAACATTATAACAGATCAGAAAATGACTTAAATAATATAAAATAGGCCTTACTAAAGGTCTACAGCCCTAACAGATACTTCAGTTTTTCTATTGTATTAAGCCTGTTTATTTTTTTGCAGGTGTGTGCTCAGCCATTCATGTCCTTTGTTTAATTTACCGAGCTACACCTGTTCTGTCATGGGAATGCGTCTTTGTGAGAAGGAAATTAGCTCCCTTAGTCCCTTTTGTAAATCACTGTTAATAGGCTATTAACATAATAAGAGGTGGGTATTCACTTTTTAATAAAATTGTTCTTCTCAGAGTGTATTTTAACTCCTAATTCAGTAATATTTGCTGAATAATAAGCAAAAAATACATTATATAGCTAGAATTTGAAGCATTTTAAGCTCTCCTCCACCTTGCAGGGCTCCACAAATACTTTTTTTCATTTAGAGAACAGTGAAATGGTGAGTTCGCTCCCTGGTTTGATTGTAACCCAGGGCTAAACTATTAATGAACACAGGGATTTAGTTATTTCTAATCATCAGTGATCAGCTTTGTGGTTTTAATAAAGGTAGGTCTGGGCAGATTTTGGAGAAATTTGACTATTTTTGGGTTATTTTTGAGTTAATCATTAAAAGTGTGGTTTGGGGTTTTCAGAAGTATCAAAAATAAGATAATAATCGATACTAAAACTACAGTAGTATCGAAAGAGATGCTCATTTGAAAAAGCGTCAGTGCTAAAAAGTCACATTTATCTTGTTGCTTGGTCAGGACCTTTTCTGTTTTGGGTTCTGTCTTCTTCAAGCTCAAAAAATCAAGTCATTTTTTGTCATTTAATTTTGTTTTGTACAATCAAAAATAGAATCCAAAACTCAATATGAAGGAACAACATCATGATCATTTTATATTTTGTCATGATGATGTTTTGACAGACTCTAAAACGTGATTATGTTTCAGTAAATGGTAAATTGTCACACTTTTATACAGCGCTTTCCACCCTCAAGGCTCTCGAAGCGCTTTACAACAAGGAACCACTCACATATTCACACACACACTCAGGCGATGTCCATATGATGAAGGTCTGAACAGAAGACGTAAATGTGACGTTGTGGCTTCACGTAAGCAATTAGACGAGCGTTTTCGGGAGGAAATCTGTGTGCATACGGCGACGCGAAAGTGTGTGGAATTCTGAGTGTGCATACCATCCGACGTGTTTGTTTCTGTGTACTGTATGTATGTGACATAAACACGTACGCGATGTGAGCAGATCTGACCAGAGTTTTGCGTCTTGGGCAGTGTAGACGGAAGGAAACGCTACGGCGGAGTGTCTTCAACTTTTCCACTGGAGGGTGGTTTCAGATTTTGGCGTTTTTAAGCCTCCAAAACGCCGTCACAGTCTAAACAAAAAGCACTTCTGATAAAATATTTTGTTCGTTTTTAGTCGCAAGTGTAAACAGGCCCTCATACACACAGGGATGAGCTGGGTTTAGTGCAGGGGTCTCCAACCTTTTTCTGTTGGTGAGCTCCTTTACAAAACAAAAAGCCCAGAGAGCTACTCATTTTAGCGGCCACAAGAAACTGAGACGATTATAAGAAAGAGCCGAGCCTTTGGGTAGGTTGTTTAAAAACCTATAAAATATAATGATGAGGAACGAATGGTACATGTACAACGGTAGCAGGCATGTAATTAATCACATTTTTGTTATTCAGCACAATTATATAATTCTGAAATCCCTTGGCGAGCTACTTTGAAGGGGCAGTTACTGAGCTACAAGTTGGAGACCTCGGATTTAGTGTCTTGCCCAAGGACACAACGACGGCGTTCATCTGTGGGAGGTGCAAAAGGTGTTGAACCTGATCATTTCTATAAATAAACAACCACAATGCAAAAAGCTTGGCCAAAATTTAAGATATAAACTAGGGGTCTCCAACCTGTAGCTCACCAAGGGATTTCTGAATTACATTATTATTGTGCTGAATAAGTAAAATTTGATTAATTAAATGCCATTTACTATTGTACATGTATCATTTTGGTGACTAACTTTGTGCTCTAATAAATATATAATGGTTTATGTTTTATAGGCATCTTAACTGTACCTCATTGTTGGCTTGTCATGGCTCTTATATGTGCTCAGTTTCTTGTGACCACTAAACCTAGTAGCTCTCTGGCATTTTTGTTTTGTAAAAGTAGCTCACCAGAGGAAAACGGTTGGAGACCCTTGATGTAAACACTTAAATCTATCAGAAAATGATGCAAAAGTAGTGAAACTATCTGTTCATGCAACAAAATCATTTTATCTACAAGTTATCTTAAAATAAACTGCCTCGAGACTAGAATTAAGCAGCCTCTGGAACTAGAAGGTAGATAATAAATCTGAAAACAAGATGAATAACCTGATATAAGTTTTAAAATCTTGGCCAAAATCTAAGATACAAACCAGGGATCTCCAACAAGTAGCTCTTCACCTCTTTCCAAGTAGCTCACCAAGGGATTTCTGAATTACACATATTGTGCTGAATAAGTAAAATTTGATTCATTAAATGCCTTTTACCACTGTACATGTATCATTTTGATGCCTAACTTTGTGCACTTATAAATGTATAATGGTTTATGTTTTATAAGGCTTGTCATGACTCTTATATATGCGCAATTTCTTCGCTGCATTTTTGTTTTGTAAAAGTAGCTCACCAGAGGAAATAGGTTGCAAACCCCTGATATAAACACTTAAATCTATCAGAAAATGATGCAAAAGTAGTGAAACTATCTGTTCATGCAGCAAGATCATTTTACTTGACACGTTATAAAATAAACTACCTCTAGACTAGAATTAAGCAGCCTCTGGAACTAGAAGGTAGATAATAAATCTGAAAACAAGATGAATAACCTGATATAAGTTTTAAAATCTTGGCCAAAATTTAAGATACAAACCAGGGATCTCCAACAAGTAGCTCTTCACCTCTTTCCAAGTAGCTCGCCAAGGGATTTCTGAATTACACATATTGTGCTAAGTAAAATTTGATTAATTAAATGCCTTTTACCATTGTACACGTATCATTTTGATACCTAACTGTGCTCTAATAAACGTTTAATGGTTTATGTTTTATAGGCACCTAACTGTACCTCATTGTTGGCTTGTCATGGCTCTTATATATGCTCAGTTTCTTGTGACCACTAAAACTAGTAGCTCTCTGGTATTTTCGTTTTGTAAAAGTAGCTTACCGGATCAAAAAGACCCTTAATGTAAACACTTAAATCTATCAGAAAATGACGCAAAAGTAAGAAGCAAAATCATTTTATCTACAAGTTATCTTACAATAAACTACCTCTACACTAGAATTAATCAGCCTCTGGAACTAGGAGGTAGATAATAAATCTGAAAACAAGATGAATAACCTGATACAAGTTTTAAAATCTTGGCCAGATCACGGAAATTTGCACTGTAGACGCAAGAACTCACTGTATTCCAAGAAAAATGACTAACTGTATTGATTTTAGCTTCCCGCCCTGCATCTGTATTAAATATTATATCTAAAACTGAGCACTTGCCCAGCCCGTTTCTAACCTCTGTTCCCTCTGTTTGCAGGAGAATGTGTCTCTGGCCGACATCCTGTCTCTGAGGGACTCTTGTCTTTCGGAGGACGAGGTGTGGGCCGTGTGTGGGGAGTGTGCTCTGGCGCTTCAGAGCATCAGCCAGTCCCAGCTCTTCCACTCTCTGTGCATCACCCCCGACACTCTGGCCTTCAACGCCCATGGCAACGTGTGCTTCATGGAGCAGCTCAGCGGTGAGTCAACACTACACTCATACTTCCACTTACGCACATGTCAGACGCTAAGACTCTCACTTAAAGATGAATCTGCATCATTTAACTTTTCTTGTAAGCTGTTTTTTGTCTGTGTTTGTTTTATTTTGTTTTTGTCGATAATGTTCCAGAGTATTGCATTTGATTTATCTTTTTGGAGACAAGAAGACGATGTCAGCAGGCTAGTTAGGTCATATCTGTGGAGGAGTGACCCCAAAGATGAGCTTGAGCTGAGTTGTTTAATTTAGGAATGAAAAGAAGACAACATGCATTATTTCTTTTATTTTACAGTTAAATTATTATTTATATAATATGGGATTTTTTTGTGTGAAGAATCCCTCAGTCGTCCAGGTAGAATCCATATCGAGGAGAAAATTCAGTTTGTTGACTCGACAAAAGTTAGTTTGGTTGAAATAATAAACAGAATTTTCTCCTCGATATGGGATTTTTTGTAATCTTAAATGTGGCAGAAGCACTTAGTTCCTACACGAACTGCCTACCTCTTGCACTTTAATAAAAAAAAGACATTGTTGAATTTATATTTGTTTTTGCAGTAGTTTTTGGGGGATTATTTTTTCTGTACACATTTCAAGATATATATCGTATATCGAGATATAGTAAAATATATCGAGATATATTTTTTGCTCCATATCGCCCAGCCCTAGTATCAGTACATGTCTTTTTAAGTAAGGGATTTAAAAAACTAATCTAATTAATTACAGAGTTTCTAAGTAATTCATCTCAATTAATCACATAACAATATCTGCCCCAAAGCAACATTTATTTTATGCAAATTAATTTTAGTAGACTTCATCAAATAACCCACACAGACATGACTTTTAAACACGAGCTCTTTCAATGTCTGGAAAAATGTCTTGAAAAAATAAATTGCATTTCAGTAGACAAAGGTAAAGTCCCTGTCCAAAATAAGAGACTAAAGTTCAAGTGCCGTTTTCCTTTAAAGGTTGTATAGAGGATTTTTTAAGGGAAGTGAAATACAGTGACAGTCCTTTTTCAAATGCATGTGTGACACCACCTTCCTCAGTAGAAACATCTCCTCCCGCCTCTTTACTCTAGAAATCACATTTGTTTACATCCAGTGCATGTTCAGAATTACTGCTGAAGTGACCTGCCTAGAAATATTTTAGCGACCGACGCGTCAGTTTTTAGACCCTTCGGACTTTCTTTTGCGGCGAACTGGTCGTGGATTCTCATCCGCCATCGCAACAAACTTTGTGCGAATTGCAAGGAAGCAACAGTTTGAAAAAGCCTCAAAGAACCGCTGCATAAACCACATAATCCCCGAGCGCCGACGAGTCAGTTACACAAAAAATGTAGGGAGTTTGACTGACAACCTAACAGCCAATAGAAAAAGAGGGAGCCTCGTTTTCTATTGGCTGATGTTTATCTGGCCTCACTACGTCCACAACTGATAGATTTTCATTCTTTCTTTTTTTTTTCGGTCATCATAATTAAAAGCTGCTGCGTCTCTGTAATGGTATTTTAAACTTTCAATGACAATTTTAAACAAAAAAAAAAATCCTCCATACAACCTTTAAGTTGTTCCCTTCTCAATGTCGTGTTTCTGTGCTCACGGTGACATGTTTTGCATATAAATGGTGTTGTAGGTTTGAGGAGCTTTTGTGAAATGCAAACTCTTTTCTGCACAGACTGCAGTAAACAACGCCTTTGTCAATACTTCCGTCAGGTAGTTTTTTTATAATAGAAATTTACCATCCAGCAGAGACAGAGCGCTTTCATGCTCCATTGTAGTAGTTGTAACTGGGCATCAGTGTAATTATTGTACCACTGACAAACAGTCCGCGTTGTTTGGCCAAGGGCAATAAAATGCGTTATTTTTAATGCATTATTTTCTTTGTAGTAAATTAATCGTAATCAGTGTGTTAATGTCTCACCCCTAGTTTTAAGGCATTTCCAGGCAAAGCAGTAACATCTCCATGGAAACAAGCAGATGCTCAGTTTACATAAAAAACATTTACATTACCTTTGTTTTCGCTAATCTACCTCTAAGGGCATTCCATAATAACCACCGTTTTCTGTCATTTCATCCTGAACTCTAAAGCAAAATTTATGGTCATGTGTCAATCCGTGTGCGTCGCCTTGCGCCCCCTCGCAGAGCGTCTGCGCTGACCAACGTGCACCTCCAAAATTTCTTAACTATGCATCAAACTGAAGCAGACAGCAGGGGAAAGCGACGCAGACAATAAGGGCAGTGATTGGTCCTCTCCACATCCGCTCTACATAAATTTCAGGTTCTCCACTTTCCCGATTAATTTTGTAAACACTAAAGCTATTTTTAAATCCTAGACTCCTTGTGTTGTGGCGAATGAAATATTTTGCGGCGCATAGACCTCGACGCAAATCTATAAATCGAAAACGACGGCAACAAGGCGACAGCGGCAGTGTGCGTTGAGCCGACGCAGAACTATAAAACAGCCTAAACTGAGCAACATTAGTAGGGAGTGAAGAATAGAGAGCGACATTCAGTGAAGGACTGAGCCAGGAATCTTAAACGTCCTTTAGAACTCAAAATGGACTCTTGTGAGCTTTAAATCATATTAGAATGTTTTTCCCTCATCAAAAACAGATCTGGAGTTGTGTTTTGTTTTATTCATACATGTTCGAGTCTTTATTATTAATCTGTCTACAACGCCAAAGCTCAAAATGCTCTGTTCCACCTTGTGATGTCATGAAGCAAGAGCTAGATTCAAGTGAAGATTATCTGGAGTTTAAAAACACAATCCAGCGCTTCCTGTATTACATGACATCACAAGTTGGAAGAAGTCTAAATATGCAGGGTTTGTGTGTTAAACAAACAAAACACAACTCCAGATCAGAGTCCTGCACCGGGTCCCCGACTGGTACCCGCAATTTTTTGCCGAAACGGGCGGGTTTTAACTTTCTTGAATTTGAGCGACGAACTGTAGAAAAACATTTGACGCGCATCCATGGCGTCCATTGCCCTGGAAACAAGTGATATTTCCTGGTCTTTTCCTGGAAAGATGGACCAGACTGAGAGAGACTTTAGTGTATTTATTACATAAACACATCAGCGGAGGTGATCGGCTCAGCGGCTGCGCTCCTGGTTCAGTCCTGGTTAAGTCTTGGTTAAGTCCTGGTTAAGTCCTGGTTCAGTCCTGGTTCAGTCCTGGTTAAGTCCTGATTAAGTCCTGGTTTAGTCTTGGTGTAATCCTGGCGATCGACTTGGCGGTTGCGGCATGTATATATTTATGCCTAAATGAACCTGCCCAGGGACGACAGGTGGAAATTATCACTGGTGCTACATTCTGGTACAATGCATCTCTCCTGTTAAGGTTAATGTAAACATTGTGTACTGTCCCTGTCTCATCAAAATAAAATAAAATTAATAAATGCTCATGACACTGGTTTAGTCCTGGTTTAGACCTGGTTCAGTCTTGGTGTAGTCCTGGCGATCGGCTCTGAGGTTGCGGCGTGTATACATTTATAATCCGCTAATGGCACTGCGTAGGTTCAGTCCTGATTTGGTCCTGGACTATTGGGCTGTCGGACTAATGGGCTGACCCCGATTTATCACGGGCAAGGGCGGGTAACGGGTGGAATGTTAAGGGGTCTGGGCGGGTCTGGATTTAATACTGCGCTGTACTGCACAGGTGTCTCCAAAAATGGACCCGTGCAGGATCCGTTTATGATGAGGAAACAACATTATAACAGCGTAAAATGTGCCCTTTAATACTTAAAAACAGCAAAAGTAGATGTTAGAATAAGTTGCCTGCTCTTTTCTTTTTTATACAAATCTCTTCGATCTTTATCAGACACATCCACATTTATGCTTTGCTGTCTCATTGTGGCCCTGACCACCTCATCAACCAATCTCTGAGGCTGTGAATTAAATTTGTGTTTTGCTTACTACAGTTTTCCGTCCAAAACTAAACTAAATCATTCGCATGGAAATTCTAACCCTAAATAGCTGTGTTTTCAATATAAATTAAAATTCCGTTGTAGTCCAGCGCTTTCCAATCTGCTACGTTCCCTTTAGACAAAATAAATTGCGTCGGTGCGGTGACCTGGCGTTTGTCCACATCGATAACTCATTTGAGAGAAGGAAAATTAAAGCACAGCACTTTTATTCGACTCAACAACAGCCTCCATCCATCTTCTCCTCTCTTCTCTCCATCGTCACTTAAGTCTGTTTTGAAATTGGCAATTGACAAAGCCAGGCCCTCCAGCAACACTACCCATTTAGGATTATGTAACTTCAATTCTGACACAGTCTCGAGTCTGCGTGAACACAACAGCAGTGCGAGGGATTCTAATATGCGAGCGGAAACATTCAGAATAGATTAGACACAGATCAATGAGGTGCACTGAAGAGTTTGTTGAACAGTTTGGCACTCAGACGTGTGGCAGGAAGAGGTGTCAAAGATTCAGTGAAAGGAGAGAATGATTTATTTGTAAAGAAATCCTCATGAGACAAACAGGATAAGCGAAGGAGAAGAGGCTGTTTAGAAGCGCTTAGTGTAGCCATGAATTAAGGTGCATTGCGTAACATTTGTGATTAGTTACAGAATAAGGCAGAGCAATGGCATATCCATAGAAGCGAGCAGGTGACCCATCCATCCATTTTCTTCCGCACATCCGGAGCCGGGTGGCGGGGGCAGCAGTCTAAGCAGGGACTCGGAGATTTTCTTCACCTCCAGCTCCTCCAAGGGGACTCCAAGGTGTTCCCAGGCCAGCCCAGAGACATAGCCCCTCCAGCGTGTCCTGGGTCTTACCCCGGGGCCTCCTCCTGGTGGGACATGCCCGGAACACCTCGAGAGGGAGGCGCCCAGGAGGTATTCAGAACAGATGCCCGAGCCACCTCAACTAGCTCCTCTCGACATGGAGGAGCAGCGGTTCTACTCCGAGCTCCTCCCGTGTGACTGAGCTCCTCACCCTATCTCTAAGGGAGCGCCCAGCCACCCTGCGGAGGAAACTCATTT